AGCAAACCAGCCATCCCTATATGGGATCCGAACCCGTGGCCTTGGTGTTATCAGCACCGCACTCTCCCGAGCGAGCCACGGGCCGGCCCCAATGGGCTGTTTTTTATTCAACAAATATGGTTTTTTGGTTTTGTTTTGTTTTGTTTTGATGGCTGGCCAGTACAGGGATCCGAACTCTTGACCTTGGTGTTGTCAGCACCATGCTATCCCAAGTGACTAATTAACCAGCCCAACCATGTGAATTTTCTTAATTCATTTATTTTTTTTGGCAGCTGGACAGTATGGGGATCCAATCCCTTGACCTTGGATTTATAACACTGCACTCTAACCAACTGAGCTAACTGGCCAGCCCCAATAAATAAATATGTGTTAAGGGCCTACATTTGTGAGACATTGCTCCTGGCACTATCCTAAGTACTGGAGACACAGCAGTGAACAAAACAGACAAAAATTCCTGCCTTGTGGAGTTTACATTCTTTTTTTTTTGTGATGGGTAAGGGGATCGGAACCTTTGGCTTGGTGTCGCACCGCGCTCAGCCAGTGAGCGCACTGGCCATCCCTATATAGGATCCATCCCTATATAGGATCCGAACCCGCGTCGGGAGCGCTGCTGCGCTCCCAAGCACTGCACTCTTCCAAGTGCACCACGGGGCTGGCCCGTGGAGTTTACATTCTAATGGAGGTTTGGAGGGACAGACAGTAAATAAAATAAATATGAAATATGTCTGTACGTGATATGATAACTGCTAATGAGAAAAATAGAGCAGATGAGGGGCAGAGGGTGGTAACTACAGGGTAAGGGATGGAAGCGAGCATACTGTAGGATGGTCAGGGAAGGCTCCTTTTGAGAGGTGACATTTGAACATTGCCCTGAATGGAGTGAAAGACAAAGATACAAGAACATCTAAGAGAATGTTTCAGGCAAAATAACAGTAAGTGTTAAAGACCTTGAGGTGATCTTGATATTTTCAAGGAACAGGACACTGTGGCTAGCAGAGCAAATGAGGAGGAGAGAGGGAGGAAATGAACTTGGCCTGGGCGAGGATGGAGGAATCAGAGACAGTATGGACAACTCTTTCAAGGAGTTTTGTTGTAAAGGGGGGGCAGGAAAATGGTTCAAAAGCCTGGAGAGAGATGAGGGATGAAGTTTTGTTTTCTTTTCTTTTGTTCATTAAGATAGGAGAAAATCGAGCATATTTATGTGCTGATTGGAGTGATCCAGTAGAGAAAGGAAATTTTAGAATGCAGAAGAGCAGAAAGAATTGCCAAAACAGTGAACTTAAGTAGGCAAGAGGAGAGTGGTTGGCCTCAGATGGGAGCACAGCCAGTTCTTCCATACCACTGTAAGCGGGAGGCAAGTGTGTGGGCACAGATGCAGGTAGGTGAGTGGATGTGGCTGGCGATAAACGCTTGTGGAAGTTAAGTGCTCTTTTGATTGCTTTTATTTTCTGAGTGCAATAGAAAGCAAGGTCATCAGCAGAGAGAGGATGGGAAGGAGATGTTCAAGGTTCAAAGAGAAATAATAATGTCTGAAATAGGGTGTGTTGATAATGATCAGACAGTTCCCTGTAGTTTGATATGTTACCTGTAGTTTGATATGTGCCTGACTTACTGCATTTGGGGCTTGGGTCCCTTCAACTGCTCTCTAAGTTCTTACTGTTCATTCTTTTTGTACCAGTCAAAAGCTACTGAAGTAATGCTCCACCCTGCAATTAAAGTCCTCATCTTGGATGCCATTCATATATGTCCACAGTGTGTTTTAAAACCTTAAACCAAACAACTTAAAATCACAGGAATGTTTGAAATGTATAATACTTTTTATTATATATTTATGGATATGTGCTTAGTTATTGCAAACTCAATTCATTTTTTGTTGTTAATAAAAGACTGTATATACACTTAGTCATGTAGAGTAAACTTAGTTTGTTTAAAATATAATGGGGTTGATTTTGTACCACTTGGAAATAAGAAATAGGGTTGAACAACATCAGAGGAAAGACTGAAGGGCAACCTTTGGTAGCTGCAGAAAGTGGGGACCGAACTTGGGTAATAATAAGGGGGAGGACCAGAGTTGAGCTGAACTTCTGGGTAGCAGCAGAGAGAGTTGATGTGTGGCAGAGGTATAGGAAAGGGAGGAAGTAGATTCCATAAAGAGAGATTGAGCTCAAGGATGATCAGCAAGGCAAATGTGTGGTGAAAGAAAATGGGGTTTGTGCCAAAGAAAGTGTACGATTCACCTATTCTAGTTCTTGCATAGAAAGTGAGAACTTAACAACCTGCAACTCTCTTTAGTCACCAGTGGTCCACTCAGTGTAGAACCAGAGCCAGGACAGAGAGAAGAGAGTTTCATCATTTTTCTATGTATGCAAATGGTTATGACTGATTTGCTAGTATTTCCCATAGTGCAGCGTGAGTACTACTGCTGCTTGCAGTGATTTTAGTTAATATGCATTATTTTTACTTTAACAGTAATACATTTATTTTACTGTGTACTGAAAACATAGATTTAGTACATCAAACCTATGATTTCAAACATCCTATTGATTAAGACAAGAGTAGAACAGGTAATAAATTTTTATAAAAAGTAAACCAATTTAAACATATAATGCAAATAATAGAACAGGTATTATTAAGATGGCAAAAATTGCAAATGACTGAAGTTTGAGAAGACTTGTCTAGGGCATCGGCTGATTGTTTATTTTAAGGGGAATATGAGAGAAGCCTACTAGATATTCTATTAATATAATTCTCTTTCTTTTCATAGCTGGGCTTTGCAGATCTAAACCTGGCAGAGTTTGCTGGGTCAGGAAATACTACTCGTCGCTGTTTACTGGAAGGCTATGATACCAAAAATACAAGACAGGATAATTCCATTCTTAAAGTAAGCATGTTTCAAGATCTACATGTCAACAAATGAGATCCTCTGCCTTTAAATAAGCATAGGTATATAGTTGCACTGTCAAGGGCAAGATGGGAGTCAATAGTGAGATCACAGGCTGACCACACCACTGAAATATTCACCACCTGGGGGGGAAAAAACCTATCCAAATCACAGAAGCAGTGAAAAGTAACAAATATCCACCTGCATGATCCTAAGGTGTTTCTCTTAGTGTTGTGAACATCCAGAGAAGAATACACACACCATACTGCAACATAAGAGCTTATTGGATAGAAGGAGCATGATGAATGAATCAATATCTTAGAATGTTTATAGCTTCCGAAAGCAGCTGTGATGAGTACACAGAAATCACTCGGTTCTCTTATAACTAGTGAAGTGACAGGTGAAACCCACTTCTGGGCATCTGCCCTATTTTTCCAAGTACTGTGAGGAGACATGTATTCTGTTAGTCACAGAGGGCATATAGACTTCATAGAACTGATAGAAGTATTAAATGAGATCAGTTGAGAAAATCTTTGTAAAATAATTTTCCACCTAGTAAAACTCACTGAATAAACCTTTTCCTGTATTTTAGTTAGTTACCTCATGGTAGTAAGTTATCTAATTAGAAGAAAAGAAAATAATTCTGAATGTAAACTGGATGGTCAGAAGTCAGTGAAGCAAAGAATTACCTTATACGTACAGTGTTCAAACTTAGTTTTCAGTAAATTTTTAGCTCTGAAGATATGAAATGCATGAAATGGTTATTATAGCCAGTCCATCCCTTGCACAACTTTAGGAGTTGTAAAGAAAGGTGGGATGGGTAGTTGACATGGGGAGGAAAATGGTGAAGGAGGAAATTAGAAAAGTATCTTGCTATAAACTTATATGCATATCATGTTGATTTTATAGTTTTATGGTTATATAACAAAATATTTCAAAGCACTTGCGAATACGAAGTACCTCTGTGAGATAGTGTTAGATAGATGGGGATAAATTGTTATCCCTGTTTTATAGATGAAGAAGCTGAGACTCAGAAGGTTAAGTGTCTCACAAAAGTAGTCGGTGGCAGAACCGAGACCGGGATGCCTATATTCTGCTACCTGGTCAGAGGTCAGTTCATGTTACCATGCTGTCTAAGCACTGCACTCAGAAGTAACAGATTGCACTGTTCATTCTTGGACTGATCCTAACAAGCCACTAAATTTAGTTTCTTCATATTTCTTATATAAGATGGATAATCCTTCTCTGAATTACAGTGTTTTCACTGGAAATTGAAATAAATTTTTAATTTCAGGCTCCCACATTCCGCAGGGCCGGCTCACAGAATAGTTTCCTTCTGGCTCCCCATTGATTCTTCCATGCCATTTCTCCCACTTTGTTGTACAAAAACATACTCTTGAAGATCGCACAATTCAGGCATAACACTCTCTCTCTTCCTGATCTCTGTCATCTCCTGGCCACCTACTCACCTTCTGTCACCTAGTCTTTGATGACTTAGTTCCTGGCTCACCATTTTTCTGTCCTTCCCTTCTCCTGTCATCATTTTTTGGTGGCTTCACCATCTGTGTAGGTGAGCTATCCTTGTGGACTGTCTTCTCTGTATATTCTCTCCTGATAACTGATGTAATATGTGCCTAAGGTGGCTTCTCAGTTCCTTAAACTCCCCATCTTCAACAACCTTTTCCCCTTTCTCATCTCAATTCCTACTCCCATGGTCACACTCTCGACTTTCCTACCACTAGAAACTTTACCACTTCCAAAATTTCAATTTAGAGTCTTCTTTCCTACCACTGTCTTTTATGTTTGCAGCCCTCTTGGTCTACTACTCACTTAGCTATCTTTAATCTTACCGCTTTCACTCTTTACTGCTTTCTCACTATCCATCAGTTCCCACTTGCTTCCACTTCCCTCTTTATCCAGCTTAGATTCCATGGTCTGTAATTATTATACCCTTAAAAATACCCATGGCTCCTTTGCTCCTGCCTCCCCCTGTTGCTGTCCCCTGAATAATCCCCAGCCCTAACTGAATTCAACTATCTGTCCTCTCTGAGTCTGCATCCTCCTTGCTAAACATTGCTGGAGAAGATCATGCAACCAGACTAGCTGCAGTAATACACATATTTTGTTACTCATTAAGACCATAAATTCTGGTATATGCAGTCCTATGTTCAGATCTTAGCTCTTCCCTTTACTAGCTATCTGACCTTGAAAACATCACTTAATCTCTCTGTGCTTAAAATGAAATTATCACTCTCTCATAAGCTTAAAATGAAATAATGTATACAAAACAGCTTAGGCCTGGTACATAATAAATTCTCAAGTCATGATTATTGTTAATGTTATTATTACCATTATCATTCCCATAATAACAAAAAGATCACATGGCCTGTTCTTAAAAGGTAGTCAGCATCTAGTGAACAACAGCATTTCAGAAAGCATTAGAAAAGCTTTAAATCCTGATCTAAAGCTGGCCCTTGAGCACCACAAGAATCTGTGAGTAAAGACAGATAAACTAGATCAGCATGCACGCACAGGATTATTACTGGAGAAGCACTTGTTTTTCATTCCTATATTTTCCACTCTGATTTTTGCAATTACAATGCTTTGAATATTAAAAATTATTTTTAATCTATATCTGTATAAAGCAGTAATTTAATATTGGACATAACTCAATTCAACAATTATTTCATTTAATGCTTTCTAAATAGAAAATATGGGACTAGGTGGTATAGAGGAAGCAGAGATTAGCAGAATATGGCTTCTGCTCTCAAATCATTTGTAATCATGACATTTCTTTTTCTTATGTTTAGGTTTGGATCAGTATGCAGCTGATGTCTGGTGACCCATGTTTTAAAACGTAAGTTAATGCCCAGTAAATGGGTTATTAATCTAAAAGTATAATATAGACATATTTGTTTAAATGTTTACATTAATTTTTTGTAAAATTAATCCCTTCACAGAAGGGATAGTTCCTTTCCTGGGAGACTGACCTGACCCTCGTAGAAGTTACTATTACCTATTACCAAACGAGCTCTCCACACTCTAAATTGTTTAAGCTAAGATCTTTGTCATCTTCAGGTTTTGGGTGAAATTATACAACCTAAAACTTTAAATTTGGCTTCTGTAAACTTATTTATTTGTTCAACAAATACCTATTAAGTGCCTTACTGTGTGCTAGTCCCTATTCTAGACACTGGAGAGCTAGCAGTGAACTAGACTAAATCCCTGCCATCTTGGAACTTATATTCTAAGAGGAAAACAAACAATAAAATAACAAATATATAGTACAAAGACAGTGATAAGTGCTTTTGAGAAAAATAAAGCATGGTAGTAGGGCCATGGTGGAAAAAAAAAATGTTGCTACTTTATATAGAGTAGTCAGGGAAGGCCTCTCTGGAAAAGACGGTATTTGAGTTTAGGCCTAAAGGAGCTGGAAAGCAAGCTGTGCAGATATTTGGGGAAGAAACATTCAAGGCAGAGGAAATAAGGACAAAACCTTTGAGAGAGGAGTGTTCTTGGCATGTTCAAGTAACTGCCAGGAGACTAGTATGTCAAGAGCAGCGTGAATGAAGAGGAAGGTAATAGGAGAGGAGGTCAGATGTTAGAGTCTTGTAGGCCGTTATAATAAGGACTTCCACTTATACGTTGAGTGAGATAACAAGCTAATGGAGGTTTCCAGCAGAGGAGTAAAATTATCTTACTGATGGCTGCTGGGTAGAGAAGAGACAATTTGTGGGAGCAACAAAGGAGACAAGGACAGAAATAGGTAGATGAGGCTGTTTCAGTAATCCAAGGTTTTGGGCCTGAGCAACTGGAAGAATGGTGTTTTCATTTACTGCAATAAGAGAGGCTACAGAAAAACAGGTTGGGAGCTTGGGCGTTAGACATGGTGAGTTTGAGATCCCTGTTTAATATCCAGCTGGGCATGTCAAGTAGGTAGTTAGATGTATCAACTACAGAGTTCAGTGGAGAGATCCTGGCTGGAGATAAAAATTTAGAAATCATTACATGATCAGCATATAGATAATAATTAAATCCATGACACTTGATTAAATGATCTCGAGGGAGTGAGCACAAGTAAAGAAAAGGAAAGGACCACAATCCAAGGTGTGGGTCACTCCAGCATGTTAGAGGTTGGGGAGATAAGGAAGGACCAGCAAAGGAAAACCAGTGAGATAGGAGGAAGGAAGCAAAAGAGAGTACCGTCCTGAAAACCAAGTGAAGAAAGTGTTTCAAACAGAGGAGTAATTTCTTGTGCCATACACCGCTGAAGTTTAGGTCTCAGAAGATGAGCACTGAGAATCACCTTTGGATTTTGCAGTACAAAGAACGTTGGTGACTTTGACAAGCACTTGGGTAAAATGCTCTTAGACTAAAGCCTTTTTTGAGTGTGTTAAAAAAGAATTTTAGTGGACATAAATTGGACAAAGTGAGAACAAACAATTCTTATGAGGAATTTTTCTTTAAAACGGGAACAGAAAGTTGGGGTCCTAAGAAAAGAGAGGATATAGGGTAGGGCAGATTTTGTTTATTTCTGAGATGGGAGATAGTACAGCATATTTGTATACTGATAGCATTGGCCCAGTCAAGAGGGAGAAACTGGTGATGCAGAAAAGAGGGAAAATTGCTAGGTCAGTGCCCTAGGATTGTCAAGAAGGATGAAAGCAGAGAACATGGCTACCGATGCAGATACGTGAGAAGTGGAAGAATATAAAAGTTCTTTTCTAATTGCTTCTGATTTCTTAGTGAAATAGAAAACATGGTGATCACTGAAGAGCAAGGATGGGGAAGACAGAGGTGATGGGTTGAAGAAAGAGGAAAAAAAGTGTGTGAAAGTCTTCTCTAAGTGAACTGAATGGGGAAATGCAATTTTTGCTATGCTATTTTTGGTGTCTCAGGTAAAAATTTTCCTAGTGGAATCAGTTTAGAGTAAAAGTACGAAAAAGAGCAGCAAAACTTAATGGAAGAAAATGAGTCCATCATTCCTTCTCATGAACTTTTTATGGATATCCCCTTTCTGGCCCTTTCTCTGCCGTTTTATTTCTCTACTTACTAAACTCACATATTGAAGAGCTCAAAAATAGATCAACTAATGTTCTGTATTATCTCCACAAATGTAATTCTGACAATCTAGAGTTTATAGAGACTTTGTAACTCACAAGAATAAACAGACCTGACCTAATCCCAAATACATAAAAGTATTTCTTGGAAGAACCAAACCCTCAATAGTTTCTTTTCTTTTTTCTTTGAATATCTGGAATTGTGCACATGTCAGTGGAAAAAGGGGAATTCCGACACATCCATGCACTTGCACATAATGAGTATGTACTGCATAGAAAAGCATCTGAACTAATGATGTAAAAAGTAAATTATTTTATCAGGTTGTACTTGAATATACATCAAATACGTAAAATCTCATTACTTTAGAGCTGAAAAGAAGGTTGTCTAGACCATGATTTTTTTTTCCAGAACACTTAGTCACAAAATCCTTTGCTCACATGTATTGTGAATCCCAGTATATAAAAAAAAATTTTTTTTTTTGTCTTTTTCCGTGTCCGGCAACGGATCGCAACCCTCAGTGTCGCCCCCCGTACCGGACCGGGACCGGCAACGGGATCGCAACCCTCGGCGTTGCTCCCGCGCCTCGCTTAGCCAGTGAGCGGGAACCGGTCTGTATGTGGGATCCGAACCCTCGGGCGGGAGCGCCGCCGCGCTTCCCAAGAGGCGCACTATCCAGTGCGCCACCGGGCCGGCCCCTATAAAATTTTTTTATTGATTACTCTCCCCTTCCTACTCCCAGAAGTCCCTAAGGGAGCTTCAGGAAGCCAATTTAAAAGTATTGGTATAATCCAAGTTCTCGTTTTACAGATGAGGAAACTAAGGCACAGAGAAACTGGCTGAGTATCTCTATATAGAACAAAGATGTAAATAACTGCTGCCGGGGTTTGTTTTGCTATTCTCTCTGCTTTCATCTACCTTTGAGTTTTTCATGATATAAATTTTTTTTTAATTTACTACAGAAACTAACAAGAGTATGGCAAATCTTTAGCATTCTCAGATTTAAATTCTCGTTTTAATATTTTATGAGCAGAAGATCTGTGACATGGATTGTATAATATTTCTGAAACACAAATTTTATACTATAAAGCCAATATTTATTAAGACAGCTGGTAAGTCAACCCAACCACTTACCCTAAAACTCCATTTTGTGGTTCTCTGCAGTTTATCAGATAGCCACCAACTCTTGTAAAAGAATGAAACTGACTCTGAAAAGTGCTGATGAAGAAAAAGGATATTTTGAGAAAGAAATTGTATACTAACTATACTGGCATTTGATAATCTGGTGATAAAGCAGATCTAGGGATGATGTAACTCTCTTGAATAGCAAGGTTCTGAAGTATTCATATTCTAGAAGGAAGGAAATTACCATTTGTCAAAATGATCGTTACTGATGAATGTTACTGTCTCTCGATTTAATTCTTAAAACAATTCTGTGATGTATTATTCATAGTTTTGAGTGAAGACATTGAGGCTCAGAGGTTAGGGAACTAATCTGTCCAGACTCCTAGGATTCTCTCATGCATTCAGTACAGGTGTATTGGTTGCCTACCACATGCTAACAATTACTAAGCTAAGTAAGACCAGCCACTGCTCTGAAGGGATTCACTGTTTATATAGGAGATGGGCACAAAATACATGATGTTATTGGGACATAGAGGATAGGGTTTCCACTGTTCCTTGAAAGTCAGGGAAATCTTCAGTGAGGGGGTGACACTGAGCTAAATTTTAAAGGATGAATAGGAATTTACTAAGCACAGGAAGTGGATAGAGACATTCCAGGAAGAAAATACAATTTGCATAAGTTAATGGCATTGTTATAGGGCATGGAATATTTAAGGAATATCAAATAGGTAGTATTGTCATTTTAGGAGGGCTTATTTCACATATTCTTAATATTACCATAAAACTAAAATAATCCTATCTCTTTCATTCTGTAATTGAGCTATATTTAAGCGATTTCTGGTAAGGGATGCAAAAACATTTTCAGAACAAAAGGGGTAATAGAACAAAAACTGGCACATGATAGGCACTCAGATTATTCAACAAGACTGAGTTTTCTAGGGTGACAGGTGAGTGGCCAAAGCCCAGCTAAGATTTTAGGTTCTAAATTTGCCATAATATCAATCCCTGTGGTCAGTGAATTTTAGCTTAGTTGCCCAAGTGTTTGAGCAGTAGTACAGATGGCTGACATTAGAAAGGGCTGGGGTTTTTTAGGTGTTTTGCAACAGCAGAACAAAGAGTGCCAAATTCAAGGTATTGCTGAAAGTGTTGTGGCTGTGGAGTCAGGCTGGACAGAAGAGTGGGAGCCAGAGGAAGACTGATAGGGAGGGAGAGAGGGAAGAGGCCAAAGGTTGAGAGTTCTGAAAGGTTGGAAAACAGATCTAAGAGGTAGAGAAATGGAGATGCTGTAATCAGGCCACCCGTGAAAGGAAAAACAAAGGAACTAGCATTAAAAAGGTAAGAATTTAGATATGCAGGCATGAGTCAGCCATCAATGATTAATGACTGTGACGGTAGACTCCAGTCTCTGTGTTTGACATTAGTTTTTCCCATGAAATATTGAATGTGGTTTTTTTTCCACCAAGCTATTTTATATTATTTAAAAATATAGCTGTTGGCAGTCGAAGAGGTAAGTCTAGGTCAGACTGCAAAGGGCCTTCTATGCCATTCTAAGGTGTTTGAGCTTTATCTCTAAGGAGCTATTGAAGAGTTTTATATCATTTCAGAAAGATCACAGTGACAGGAGCATAGAGGTCAGCAGACCGGCTAGGAGACTCTCTTGGTAATCCAGGAGAAATGTACAAAAGCCAAAACTCAAGTAGTTAGTGAAGATGGAGAAGAGATGATGAATAGGAAAAATATTTAAAGAGAATCTGTAGGACTTAGAAGCTGACTGGACATAGGAAAATGTGAGTAGGAAGGGCACAGAAGCAATATCTAGGATTCTAGTTTAGTGACTTTTTGATTGTGGTGGCACTCACAGAGAAAGAGAATACAAGGAGAAAACAGGTTTTGTAAAGAAGATCAGTTTAGTTGGGGATATATTGAATTTGTAGTACTTGTAGTACAAATACTTGAAAATGTTCCAGTAGGAGAATTTAGGAGATCTTGGGCTGGAAATAATCTGTAAATAAAATAGATTTAATGGCAGTCTTAAATGTCTGTATCCCCAAGAATCTGAAGCCAGAGGATTCCATTGAGATAATAAGGTAAGAATTTAAGAATTGCCACAAAGTGAGTCAGCTTCATAATCCCTTCAACCACCTTCCTATTTTATCTCAGGTTACTAAGGGATGATTTCTAGAAAGATGTGATTCCCCTCTGGAATATCAACCTCAAATGATTAGGGATATTTTATAATAAAAATCACTATGTTAAAAAGAAAAAAGAATTGTTAAAACACAAACTTGCCCCTCCTTGCTTCACAGCTTCCACATTGGAGTAGGAGCCTTGAATTAACCACTGAAAATAGATGCATCATGTACTTCCAGAGAATCCAGTCCAAAAAGCAAATCTAAACAAATGTGTCTCTGTGTAGACTCTCCCTGGGGCAGGTGAACTGTTTACAGAGAAGAAGGTAGAAGATAAAACCATGGACACTATTTAAGAAGTTAGTGGAGCCAGCAAGAGAGCCTAGGCTCTGACGCAGGAGGCAGGAGTTATTCCCCTCGCAACCTCAGATTCAAAGGGGCTTGGTGTCTCCTTCCCCAGCTCAGAGATGTACCCCTGCCTGGTCTGAGTTGGCAGTTGAAGCACCCCTCCCCCCCACCCCCGCAACGATCAGTGCTGGGCACACGCTGACAGAGGCCTCTCTTCAGGATTCCACTGAGGCAGTGCCTTTTCTGGTCTCACCTTTTTTATTGTGTAAAAAACCTTCCCCTGACCCCATGAATTTTACTCAAGCTTTGAAAAGTTCCTTATACATTATTTGTTGATTTTTATTACTTTACCCATCAAAGGGGTAACATTACCAGGCAGCTTACCAAGGCTGTGTACTGACTACACAACCAATCTCTATTTCAAATCTTCAGGCTCACCCACAATTCAAGTTCTGATCATTAGAAATGTTTATTTACAGGCCTCCCTCTACATCAATGTCTATACCAATTGCTGGTGAATCTGAATCTCTGCAAGAGGATAGAAAAGGTGGAGAGACTCTCAAAGTCCATCTTGGAATAGCAGGTATGGATGTGTAGTTTGCAGCTTTTTTAATTTGTGAGAAACAGTACTACTTGCTGGCCTAATAGAGTCCCAAAGCCCTTCAGATTTAAAATTTTGTGGATATATGACTTGAAATGGGCAAATAAGTATCAGCAGAGTTTTAATTATATAGTTAATCCTTTATCAGTCCAATGCTTTGTTTTGTCTAAAGTATGGTGCTCTGATCTGACAGATTTAACAGCTAAATGTTGCAATGACACCCCCTCCTCCCTTGTATGCATCTGCTGCCCACAGATACAACAGGGTACTGCAGGATTTTCCCCATTCCACATGCCCACTAACTTCTGCCAGTTGCCTCTCAGGTGTTGCTTCTTCCATGAATCAAGCCTTGTGTGCATCAGAATCACCTGGACGGCTTGTTAGAACACAGATTGCTGTCACCAGAAGCCAGAGTTTTTGATTCAATAGATCTGGGTTGGGGCCTGAAATTTTGCATTACTAAACAAATTCCCAGATGCTGATGTTGCTTATCCCCGATCACACCTTGAGATCCACTTCTCCAGGCAAACTTCCAGCTGCAGTCAGAATCTGCTCCAGATATGGGCAAAATGTCAAGTTAGCTGGAAGAAAAAGACTTAGGAGCTTCCTTCAATCCCCCATTTAGTAAACAAATGCACTGTGTGAAAGAATGGAAAGAAAGGTGAATTGATGTGATTAACATTTTCACCACTTTTTCAAATATGCAAAGATACGGTTTCTTATAGATAATGGTGACTATGAAATTTCCTGATTTAGGATCAGTGAATCCTTGGGTACTTTAAACCTTTCTGTTAGCTTATTCCCTTGAGCACTTAAATATTCTGAATTCTTCATATTGAAAATAAATAAATAAATAAAAATTCATTAGCTTTACATCTTTCTCTGTCTACTGCTCTCTCCCTTAGGCTCCAGGAGGCTGGCAGTCACTCTCTTTCCCCCAAATATATATAGAAACATCTATCTGTGTATACACACATGCACACACAGAGATATCATCTAGAGATGATATATATACCACACACTTTTTATAGCCAAACTTCTAGGATATACTGCCCATTTATTCTTAAACACATTTGCAGTCTGGCTTCAATCCTTTGATCTCTCTTGATGATGTCTCCAGTTACATGATTGTCAAATCCTGTGGGCAAGTTTCTGTTGTCATCTGGCTAGGCCACTTATTCTTTCTTGAAGCTTTCTCTTCCCTTGGTTCTCACTTCTGTAATTTTTCCTTTTTTAATTTCTTAGAGGCTTCTTTGTCTTCTTCTACCTTCTTAAATATTGATGTTCCACACAGTTCAGTCCTCTTTACTCACTTTCTTGGGCAATGTCATCTATGCCCTGATCACATAGATTTAAATGTGATCATGTAAAACATGAGTTAAATACTTTTGAATCACAAATTTGTTTTGTCTGTGGACCTCCCTCTTGAACTCCATGTACATATTTCCAAATGCTTTTTGGAAAGGTTTACTTCATGTTATATTGAAATCCATCTGTTTTTTTCCCTAGCCAGACTCCGAGTTCTTCATGATCAGGTCTTCTTTGTCTTTGTATCCCCAGCATAATGCCAGGGAAACAGTAGAAATTCAATGTATGTTAAGTGGGTATCCTCAGGTGTCTCAAATTCCACATATCCAGATCAAGTCTTCCTAACTCTTCTTCCTAAATTTTCTACCTTTGTTATCCTGACACAAACTTCTACTTAGTAATCGAATCCTTTCATTTTGCCTGCTAAACATCTATTACTTTCACATGGATTATTATGAAAACCTCAATTCCTTCACCCCCTATTCATCCTATTACTAAAGTGATCTTCCCAAAATGTAGAACTCGTCATGTCACATCCTTGCTTAAAGCCATTGAATTGTTTCCTTCTTTAGACTTGTAGAAGCTCCTTCATCAGCAGGCGTCTACTCATCTCTCCAGCCTCTTTTCCCTTCATTCATCTACACCACTACCCTATATGCCAACTTTACCAAACTATTTGCTTCCTACAAACAAGGTATGCTCTTCCCCTATACCTTTTCCTCCTCATCTAACTGAGGAATTCTGTACATTGTTAGGTCTTTCCCCCATTACCAGGTAGTGTTAGATGCACTGTCCTTCGGATTTTGAATTTTAGTACTTACCACATTGTATTATAACTGTTTGCTTCTTCCTCTAAACTCTGAGCATGTATTTTGTCTTATTTTGTACCCCCCATTTCTTGTACAGTATTGGGCACCTGACTTGGTAAGAGCTTAATAAATATTTACTGAATGAATAAATTTTGAAACCAGAAGATAAATGGATGAAGTAAGATCTGAGTCAAACTCAGGAGTAAAGAGTCAGCTCTATAAACTCTCAATGTGAACCAACTCTTTGAGTTTAGATTTTGTCGGAGCTAACTTTGGGTTTAGGACTGCTATAGAGATGCTCGGGAGACTGACTTACAGTCTGTCCAGAGTTGAGAAACCTTTGCAGAAGGGCCAGGTCACTGCGGTAGCTTACTTGTTTGGCAGCATTTGTTGGTCTAACTGCATTCATATCATTTATAGAACTGCTGCTATGATGGCTACATTACTCAGTTGCTTTCTTTCTGCTTCTAAGTTAAAAACAGTTCTAGTTTTGAGATATTTCATCCTAATGAAAATGGTCACAGTACTGCATTCTGTAGACGAAGCCTGGTTCTTGAAAATATATAGTTGGCATCTGGAATATACACATGATCAGGAAACTACTAAAAATGGTTTTGACATTGCTTTTTTGTACATTTACTTTGAAACTGAATACTATAATCAATTCCTTAAGACCTTTTATTCTCTGTGCTACATACATTCCACGCTGTGTTGATTTAAGCCACAGACTTTGCCCAAATTATAGCCTAGCACTAGCAACATTAACATTAAAGTAATGATGTGCTCTTTAGTTTACTGTGGTGATAGATTTTTGAGGAAGTAAGATTTCCTCAAAAACCACACTAGGGCCGGCCCGTGGCTCACTCGGGAGAGTGTGGTGCTGATGACACCAAGGCCCCGGGTTCGGATCCCATATAGGGATGGCCGGTTCGCTCACTGGCTGAGTGTGGTGCTGACAACACCAAGTCAAGGGTTAAGATCCCCTTACTGGTCATCTTTTAAAAAAAGAAAAAAAAACCACACTAAAACCTGGCAGTTTTATAAGAATTTATAAGAATATATCTGACTAATTTATATTAGAGAAAAGCTGAACACAAAAACTGTAATTGTTTTAAGATAGAGTACAGATAAATGTTATGAAAAATACTATAATTTTTCAGTGAACTATGGTATTTAAGTACTTTGTATTTCTTGCAATACAGTTGTTTCCATTGTAATAATGTAAAGGGATGTTTATCATTTTGTAACTTATTTTTCTTGATAATGAACTTGGCAGAATTTATAAAATCTGAAGATTAGAATTCAAATTGACCTTTGACTTGCTGGCAGTAATAGTAACATCATATTATGACATATTGCAGATCTTTCAGCAAAGAGTGCCTCTGTTCCAGACGTACTTGGTGCCTGTGGACATTCTAGAACATCAAGCTATGCAAGCCAGCAGTCAAAAGTATCAGGTAGAGGCCAACAGTGAAATTGAATTCCTTATTATTATAAAGGGACTTGAAACTGCTGTGGTGTGGGAGAAGGATGTTAGACTGCAGTGTTGGATGTTAGTATTATATCCAAAGTGATTTTCTCTGACAGGGTATAGTACATGTCACTCCCGGTCATCTAGTTTCTCTGAGCTGTGCCACAGGAGAAATACCTCAGTGGGAAGTACATCAACAGGAATTGAAAGTATTCTAGAGCCATGTGATGAAATTGAGCAAAAAACAGCTGAACCAAATCTTGATACATCTGATAAAGAAGATGCAGTCTTGGAAAAACTCAACAGGTTTCCTTTCAGTTTAAAGGATAAATTTAAATTTAAAAAAAACAAACTTTGTTTTCATAAAATGATTAATAAAGAGGAAAAAACTTTTCTTTTCAAAGATGTCCAGTGAAACAAGATTCTGTCGAATCTCAGCTGAAGCGAGTTGATGACACCAGAGTGGATGCAGACGATATTGTGGAGAAAATATTACAAAGTCAAGACTTCAGCCTAGATTCCAGTGCAGAAGGTGTGTAGATAACTGTTAAGTATAGATTTCTGTAATCCAGGTTTGTGTAATCCGTGTGGTCAGCAATAAAGAGGCAGTAGTAATCATGATACCGATTATTGCATATTTATAAAATAAATTTCATGCCCATAAAAATATCTAGATAACTTGGTAGCTTGTTTATTTCTGCAAATGAAAATTGAATTTGAGGAAAAAACACAAACTTTATTTAAAAGAGGTCAATTTTAAAGAAAGTTTTTATTGTATTTTTAATTATGTATCGGTGTCTACCATGTTCATATACCTTATGATAAACGTCTGCTTCTGTCACAAGTGCTTTAAGGAGGGTCGGGGTGGTAGTCTTGAAACAATAGCAAATAACAGAATCCTTCATTCCCTCCTTAGCATTTTCACTGAAACTGAAAATTTATATGCCACCAATTTGAAAGGTATAATTACTCGTGCTGGTGTGAATAGAGAGCACTTAACAATGGACTTACTTTCACTATGTAACTGGTTGTAAAGAGAAATAATTAAACCTTGTGGAAATTTGTAGGAAGAGCTGTCTTTATTATTCAGTTAAAAGGAAAAGAGCTTTCAGAAAATTAATGAGAAATAACTTTAGGGTGTCTTTTAAATTGCCTGTTTTAAAACATGTATGTAACATTGATTTTTAAGTTTTTTGTTTCTTTAATAAACTGATATAAAATATGAATTATTACAATATGAATATTATTTGACAATAGTCTAATAATTGTACATATAACAAACATTTTAAATGTGTGTTACAGAAGAAGGACTGAGATTATTTGTGGGTCCTGGAGGAAGTACAACCTTTGGCAGTCATCATCTTCCAAATAGGTATGTAGTCTAAATAGTATCTTAATAAAATATAAGCTTTTTTTTAAAAAAAGTGTTCATGAGTAGAAGGTGAAGGTTGCAAAGTTTTTATTAGACTGAGGCTAGAAAACGCCAATATTAGTAAGTATGTGAGAAGAGTTACAGTTGCTAGTGTAGCTCTCGGTTTTCCTTACTATGAGTATGTTTGACATTATATTTTATAAGTTAGTTTGTTAATTTCCTTAAATGTATTTTTGGAATATGTTGGTAGAGGACCAGTAGAGCATTGGGTAAGGTGCAATATAAAAAGGACCTTAAGAAAAGAGTTCTTAGTCTGATATTTTCAAAAGATCAAAGCAAAATTACATTTTCAGTGGTCTTATCTGTTATGAGTAGTTATGCAGCCACTTAGCAACATAAGGTATTCACCTATCTTTTACTGTTTTCTCCACCCCACTAAAGTCTAACAGACATACTTAGAACTAAGTTCTGAAAATCAAACATAATTTCAGTAGTTGTTCAGGTTTAGATGAAGAAAAGTCACCTGCCAGGCTTACCACAGTGATTCTCAGTGCTGCAGCAAACTAGTGAGCACAGGTGCTGAGACAACTTAGGAGTTCTCGTTCCCTTGCTTCCCACAGCCCGGTCCCTGCCCTTCTGTGCACCCCAATATTCACTATTCCCATGTAATATTTATGTAGAGTCCCCGCACAACTACAGAGCAAATTAGAGTTGCAGGGGGAGGGAACCCCTTGGACCAAGACAATGATTGAAACTAACTGCAAACACCTACATAAACAACTATAATCAGATACGATAGGTAGGTAAGAGAGGGACATATAAAGATGCTATGAGGGAGTAATTTGAAAGGGGGTTTATAAAAGAGGTAACACAATTTAGACCTTTCATTAACTTTCATTGACTTATCCACTCGTTAAATTCAGTAACTATTGGGCCGGCCCGGTGGCACACTGTAGCAGTGCGCCGCTTGAGAAGCGCGGCGGCGCTCCCGCTGAGGGTTCGGATCCCATATACAGACCAGCCGCTCACTGGCTGAGCGAGGAGCGGGGGCAACACCGAGGGTTGCGATCCCGTTGCCAGTCCCGGTCCGGTACGGGCGCGACACTGAGGGTTGCGATCCGTTGCTGGTCACGAAAAAGGACAAAAAAAAAAAAAATCAGTAACTATTTATTGGGCCAACTTGTGGGAAAGATGCAAAGATAAAAGACCGAGCTCTTACTCTCAGTTAGCTATGGTCTAGCACATGGGGTTGGCAGTCTACAGCCTGTGGGCCAAGTTGACCCACTGCCTGTTTTTGTAAAGTTATATTGGGACACAACCACGCTTATTAATTATGTAGTATATGGCTGCTTTGAATACTACAGTGGCAGAGTTGAGTAGTGCAGCAGAGACTGTATGGCCCACAAGCCTAAAATATTGACTATCTGACCCTTCCTAGCAGGTGAGATAGACTAACTAAAAATTGTAGTAATATGACAAGTATTATAATAGAGAGAAGTAGAGGGAACTCTCAGAGAAGAGAGATGCGACCTCACTCAGACAGAGAAAACTTCCTGGAAGTACTGACACTTGAAGAGAATCTTTGGGAGAAAAAAGATAAGTGGTGGCCCATTAGGCAAATATGGGGAAGATTAGTATTCCTGGTAATAGCAAAAAGAATGAACTTATAGGTATAATAATTATAGATAACACTGAGCATTTATTATATGCCAGGCACAGGCACATATATGTATTTTATCCAATTCTTACAATATCTCTTTCAGTACTCAAAATATACTATAGTTGGTTTTTAAAAAATGGAAACAAGGGCCGGCCCGTGGCTCCCTCGGGAGAGTGTGGTGCTGGTTCGGATCCCTATTAGGGATGGCGAGTTAGCTCACTTGGGAGAGCGTGTTGCTGACAACACCACATCAAAGGTGAAGATCCCCTTACTGTTCATCTTTTAAAAAATAAGATAAAATAATAAAAATAAATTAAAAAAAATAAAAATTGCAAATGGAAACAGATACAAAGAAGTAAAGGTCATTTGCCCAAGGCCTGAAAACTAGTAAGAACCAAGATTCAAACTCATGTCTCTTTTGAGTCCAAAGCCTGTCATACTTAATCACTGTGCTTTACTGGCTTATAAATAATATAACCTACTTAGAGAATTGCCATTGAACAGGTTCTTCAGAGGAGAAGGGCCTGGTGAAAGGGAGTTTACGGACGTGAGGTTGGCAAGAATCTTGGTGCCAAGGTTGTAAAGGGCCTCAGTAAAGTGACATAACAAAGAGTTTATCCTTTCTCATGTATAGTGGGGAGCCATTGGTCATTCTTGCAGGGTAGTGACCTATCGGATTGGCATTTCATAACAGTAACTGGCCATAATTTGAAGGTTAGATCAGCTCAAGGAGAGACCAATAGCAGAGGACCAGGTTACTTTTCTAGGTAATGTTTGTGAGGTAGTGATTTGAACGGTGAGAAGAATGTGTGTTTGTGAGTTAAAGAGACAGGTTCACATCCTAGCCAGACCACTTTCGGGGCCTGTGTAAATCACTTAACTTCAATGGAACTTTAATTGCCTCTGTTGAAAATTGGGGATAATCATGCCTGTGTCACAGGGTTTTTCTAAAGGGTAAATGACATAATATACTCAGTAAGCCCTAGCTATTATTAACTTAGGTAGAAGAACAGCAAAAGATATAGTTCCATCCAAAAGGAGTTTACATAGTAGATGAGCAAAAACACAGGCTGTCTCATCAGACTGCCTGGAGTCAAATCCTAGCTTTTCCGCTATTTACTGATGTTATTAACCTCTGTAAGTCTGTGTCCCACCTATAAAATGAGAGTCATAAATAAGTTTCCTAACTCATAGAATTTTTGTAAGGATTAAACTAGACAATTTATGCAAAGTGTTTCACACAGTGCCTGACAGAAAGCTCTCACTATAAGCTATTATTAGTTTTGTTATTATTCAGAGGAAGGAAAGGTAATTTCTAGTTGAGAAATAATTAGAACCTAGGATATAAAGCTTGTATAATTTTCCTCACTGTAAGTAAAGAAAATAAATTATACATGCTTTATATCCTAGATTTTAAAGATATTTACTATTATTTTCTTTACTATATTTATTGTATCTTCATAACCTAGGATATAAAGCAAATATAGTAAAGAAAATAATTCTGGCTCCCACCCCCTTTCCAAACAAATTTTAGAATAAACCCAATACATAAAGGCCTAAAGTAATAATTAGGGGTTGAAGTAGATGATTAACATTACATGCCACAGAAAGGCCAAGGAATGTCAGAGACAGTGTGTCATGGTGGGAAGAGAATGGGCCATGGAGTCAGACAGACATGGGTTTCATTCCTGTTTAGCCGTAATGACCCAGCTTAACCATGATCCTAGCAAATCACATCCCTCACTTGCCACCAAAAAGAGAACTGCATTACTGGGGTTGACAACACAGGCTGTGGAGTGGGGCTGCTCAGGTTCAGTACCAAGCGGCACCACTTAGCTGTATGTCTTCAGTAAGTTACTTCACTTCTCTCTGCCTCAGTTTCCTCACTGTAAAATAAAAATGATAATGGAAAATACCTCAGAAGAGTTATAAGGTTTAAATTAGATGAGGTAAGATATGTTAAGTGCTTAGAACAATATCTGTCATGCAGTAAGCACTCAAGTACTTTATATACACTAATTAAAGGTCTATCTTGCAGAGTTATTTTGGAAATTAATCAGTTGGAAGTGCCCAACACACTGCTTGTATACATAGGCTCTCGGTAGCTAGTGGGTATTTATTAGAGAAGCTAATGTAATAGCATTAGATCCTTTCTGTGAGATAAACTGTAGTGGCACCAGATGAAACCAGAATCATTTACCAAGGGACAGAAGCAGCACAAGAATCATAGTTCAGAAACAGAACCCATGAGAATGAAGAGAACAGAGCAACAAGCCATAGAGACCTGGCAAGAAATATCTGCAGTAATGTGTCCTAGATTACTGTCCTAATCTGCAGTAATCTGGCTGGCCGAGGGTTTCTTACACCTGCATATACCTCCTCGCCTGCCTTTGAGACATTTCATTTTTTTCTGACAAGAAGTCTGCGCTTGTTTTCATTTTAATTCCTCTATATGTGATTTGCCTTTTATCTGACTGCTTTTAAGATTTTCTCTTCACTGATTTTTAGCAATTTAGTTCTGATGTGCCTTGGTGTGTTTTTCTTTGTGTTTATAATGCTTGGGGTTCATTGAGCTTCTTGGATCTGTGAGTTTACAATTTTCATCAAATTTGGTAATTTCCAGCCATTATTTTTCCCCACCCCTCCTTCTCATATTTTGACCTACTAGTTCTAGACCCCAGCCCTCTGAGCTCTGACCTCTGACTGCTCCACTCCAAGAGGCCACCAGGCTGTTTGAGCTCTCCCTCACCGCACTGCAGGCTGGGAGGATCCTAAAGGAAACTGCTTCAGATTGCAAGCTGGGGCAGTTGTCAGCCTTTCTTCATTTATTTCCCTTTTCTTGGGACCATAGTCATTCAATCTCTGTTGTCCAGTGTGTGTAAATTGTCATTCCACATATTCTATCCAGTTTTCCAGTTATTTAAGGCAGGAGGGAAAGTCTGGTCTTGTTTCTCTATCATGGCCAGAAGCAGAACCTATTTAGAGCATCTAAAAGCCAGTGTGCAGTGGTGTTCACCAAGGTTTCCTCAAATTTTGACTATCTGTAGCTATGAATGGGTGTTCACTGGCATTCTGTTGAGGATGCTCCCATTTCTTCTGTAGAATGAATCTGTAAGAATAGGAGTCTCTGAGCAATCAACTGAGAAGTCCAACTCAGTCATGGTGGACTAGTAACCACTGCTTTGCTTCCATCTTTTAGAATTTCCTCTTCAAATGCCATTAAGGGAACAAACCAGTCATGGTGGTTGCTTCTGGGCTTACTAAACTTGGCATGCTCAGAATGAAATGTCAGGTAGTAGGGTAGACCTTGACATCTTCACAGATGAGGAAATGGGTGCCTGGTGATAACTAAAAGTAATAATCCCCACGCCTTCGATGCAACACCACCCCTTCAACTCTCCTCTTGATCCCTCAATAGGCTTCAAGGAAAGGGTAGAATAATCCTCTTCCAAGAATATAAAACCAGCTGCCATCGAAAAGACATTTTATATTTTTTACAGGCTTTAGAAAACCTTTATCCTGCCAGACCAAGAAACAATAGAGGTAACATGCATGTTCAGTCCATTATAACATACAGCCAAGGTACTAAGAGCATCAACAATAAGAAAAAAACCTTGTGTTGGTAGGGCCAGCCCGTGGCTCACTTGGGAGAGTGTGGTGCTGATAACACCAAGGCCAAGAGTTCAGATCCCTGTAAAGGGATGGCCAGTTAGCTCACTTGGAGAGCGTGGTGCTGACAACACCAAGTCAAGGGTTAAGATCCCCTTTCCGGTCATCTTTAAAAAAAAAAAAAAACTTGTGTTGTGAGGCCATTACTTAATATAAATAGCCTATTTTGAAGTTACTTTATTAACAAAGCTTGCAAATTTTTTTTTTCCTTTTTGTCTCTTTTTTACTGACCGGTAACGGGATCGCAACCCTCAGTGTTGCACCCGCACCACACTCAGCCAGTGAGCGGGAACCGGTCTCCACATGGGATCCGAACCCTCGGCGGGAGCGCTGCTGCACTCCCAAGCAGCGCACTCTCCAGTGCGCCACTGGGCCGGCCCCAAAGCTTGCAAATTTTAAGTCTTTTAGTATTCTCCATATTTCATTAATAGAGGTGAGTACCTGGCATATTAGGATAAAGGCTAATCTGCTATAACAAAGAGCCCCAAAAATACAATGGCCAGGCTGATGAGACAGCTTTGCTCCAAAAAGTGACTCACTGACCCAGGTAACCTCCATTTTGTTATTTAACTATCCTCCTCAGCTGCATTGTCAATGCTGGATTACTGCCAGTCTGGGGCGAGCAATTTTCCTTTAAGCAAGTGAGGCAGAAGTTGACACATCTCTTCCATTCATGTTCCATAGGAGAAAAACTTAAGTTACATGGCCGTATCTATCTACAGGGGAGTTTAGGAAATTTGGGCTCTAGCCAAGCAGCTTGTACCCAGCTGAAACTATGAAGAAGGGGAGAATAGATTTGAGGGGACAACCAACAGTCTGCCACACCAAGCTAGTGAAATAAACCGTTCCTCATGATCATTTTCCCTTTAAATCTACATTACACAGGTATAGTTTACAATAGTGACTCCCTATAAAGACATTTGCATATCAACTAAAGGAATCCTCACACTTTCTAGAAAGGTGCATTAAGGCAGGGGATCGATCGTAACCCTTGGCTTGGTGTTGTCCGCACCACGCTCAGCCATTGAGCGCACTGGCCATCCCTATATAGGATCAGAACCCGCAGCGTCGGCGCTGTCAGCACCACACTCTCCCAAGTGAGCCATGGGGCTGGCCCCACCACGCTGTTATTACAACAGAAGATTATCATTGTACTCACTTCAAGGCCTGATGCACTGCCAGGGTCAGTATATGCTCTTGGATGAGACTGGTTTTAGGATTTATATATAAACACATTTGGAGAGAATATTTCTTGCTGCAATTTGGTAGGTCAAGTATTGGGAAATATACTAGATTATTGTGGGAATGAGAGGATTGGGGTTTTATATCCGGTATATTAACCATAAATATTTAATATTAAGTATTTTCTATCTGTGATACCTTTAAACCTCATAGATATCAAATCTAGTAGAAAAATGCCTAGTATACCGTCTCTCTGGGGGCAAGGTACTTAGAATAATTTGAAACTTACATACAGCTCAAAATTTTGAAATTTTTTTTTTCTCTCTGCTGTTTCAGGGTGGGGTCTGGAGCTTATGAACAAGTTGTGATCAAACGCTAGAAGTCAAACTGGTGAACTAAAGTTTCCTTGTGGATTTAAGATGTAGGCAGTTAATATATCAAGGCATTTTATTCAAGCACTTAAGAAAAAGTGAACCTAAAAAAAATGAAGTTTTCTATCAAGAGGAAAGCCAATGCTGATTTCTTCTTTGAAAGCAATCACCACTTACCAAAAGGGAACATAAGAATGGTGGTCTCCAGGCTGGGTGCCAGTGTGTGCCTTTGAAGTACTTGGCTTCTGTGGTCACTGCACATGATAATGAAAAGCCTGCTTTTTCTTTCAAATCACCCCAGTGGGGAAAACATTATACACATCTGGGTATAATTTTGGTATTCAAGTGTAAAATCCGTTAGAGGTGCTCAACAGATATGGGCTCTGTGTTTTGTTTTGCTTTGTTAATTTTATGTTTGAAAGACAATATAGTTTAAACCCTATAAATTTTGTCAAGGTAGTTATTCTTGTTAAGGAAAATATTTCATATTATATTACCTACATATTGTACTAAGTTTATCAGCTCTTTTTGAAGCAATAATTGATAGTATGAGTGTTTATGCTTTGGGAAAATGTTATATCCTACAGCTTAAATATGTAAAGTGCTTAATAATTCCAAATGTATCAATCATAAATCAAATGACAAGTGTTTTTAAATCTGAGATACATGAAAGGATGTAATGCCATTATTATGCAGTATATATCATGACTTGTTTTTAATATTACATGAGCTGCAGAACCCCCACTAGCACTATATGAGAGATTCAAACTAAGTCTCATATCCAATATATACATAGCAGAAGAGCTGTTTTAACTCACTGAATATTAGGATCTGCTAGTTTCAGGAATCAAAATTTAAATCAAGAGGAAAATTATGGTATGATCAGAAACAAAGCAGCCTTTTCTATGTAAATTCAGACTTACCTGAAACTGCAAATTATTCTGACATGGTGGTGGATAGAAGACAGAACAGCTGCCTGACATTACTGATGCAGTCTGGTGGTTATCTATTTTAGCTCCCCGCGATCAGATACTATGTTTTCTTCTTTACTATATTAGAAGTTAGTTGTTTTGAGGCAAGAGGAAAATATAACATACATCAAATATAGCTTTTAAAATAATATCTGGTCTGGGCCGGCCCGGTGGCGCACTCGGTAGAGTGCGGCACTTGGGAGCACAGCAGCGCTCCCGCCGAGGGTTCGGATCCCATATGGAGACCGGTCCGCTCACTGGTTGAGCGCGGTGCGGGTGCGACACCGAGGGTTGCAGTCCCGTTGCCGGTCACGAAAAAAGACAAAAAGGAAAAAAAAATTAAAAAATTAAAAAATAATAATATCTGGTCTGGATCCAGTTTAACAGCACAGCATATAAACCTGAGAATTTTTCTGGTCTTATGCGGCAGTTTCCATGTAGAAAGATATAAACTTTCTTGGAATCACTCAGCCACTGAAGAAAAATGTAGATTCTGTAGAACCAGTAATCCTTACTTTCAAAATCATGTCCAAGAAAGACAGTATATCAGAATAGAATTACTTTGGTCTAGGTATTTTCAAATTGTAAAAATAAGGGAGAAATTATATTATTTTAATACCTAATTTAGAGATTTGGAAAATTTGAATAGTTCGTGTTAGGACTTTTTTTAATATTTCAAGATTGGGTATTCCACATTAATCCAATACTATTTTTACAAATGGATTCTGAAATTTTTTAAAAGATGACACTCTTTTAGAATATTTTGAATGTTGAGAGAGAGGGTTTTCTGAGTCATTAGTTATATTTTTTATCTTTTAAGATTTATTTTGAAGAAAAAAACATTGACCGGAACATTTTATTCTAACCAGGGAAAACGTTATCTTAAGTGGGAAAGATTTGTTGTCTGTCTTCAAGTGAATTGATCCATTTGTTATATATTATGGGGAAAAAAAAAAGTGTTTTTTTGTTCGTTTGTTTGTTTTTTAAAAGATGACCGATAATGGGATCTTAACCCTAGACTTGGTGTTGTCAGCACCACGCTCAGCCAGTGAGCTAACCGGCCATCACTATATGGGATCCGAACCTGGGGCCTTGGTGTTAACAGCACCGCACTCTCCCGAGTGAGCCACAGGCCGGCCCGAAAAAAAAAAGTTTTTAAGAAAAATATGAAGATATTTATTATGACATTTTAAAAAAACATATTTTCCTACTTTCAAAATATTTCTTCTATGGTAATACTTTTTATTGGCTCTTTTGCAAATGACTTTGCAGTTTTGAAAATGATAAAACTAGATTGTAAGCGAGGTTCAGCGAGGACATTCATCAGACATGTAAAAGGTGCTATAATCAGGGCAGTGCCTCTGTTCTACTCATCTTTGGCTGCTCTTGGCCCTATACCTTTATATCAGACTGGTTCTTGGTATTTAAAATGGTGCAGAATTTTTAAAAAAACAAAATGTAGAGAAATTTTGAAAAGCATAATTATGCCTCTATAATTTTAGCAGCCATGAGATACATCTTGATTTATGTAGAGTAAATACAACAAATATTTTAATAAATGGAAACATTGCTTAGGAAGGAAAAAAACTAATGGCTGTGTTCTCTGTAGTCAGTGAAAGTCTGGATTCATTTTATTCTGTGTTCCATTGGCATACTTTGCATTCAAATTTCATTACAATCCTTTCAAAATATTTGTTAAGGGTTATACCTAAGTGTCGGCCTTACTTTCCAGTTTTTCTTTTCTTAGAGCATGTATTGTTAATATCTAAATTATATAGCTACTGAAAAAATCGGTTTATTAAATACCAAGTCCACTTTTGATTCTAAGTTTAGAAAACTGGATTTGAAAAGTTAGATTCTTAATAAATTGGTTTTGAAATATTGACTCAGATTTTTGATCACCCAGTCTTGAAGAATTTGCAGATGTACGAGGGCACTTCAAAAAGTTCATGGAAAGATTCATATTATCTTTTGATTCTATTTTTCCACAAACTTTTTAAAGTACCCTCATATAACACTTTCTTTTTCTAATTCTGTTCTAAAGAAAAAGATTATAGTATTTTAAAGCTATGTACTTGTGATCAGATAAGGGAAGAGTCTTAAACGCATCGTTTGGGAAAATATACAGGCCAAGCAGGAGATCCACTTCCTGTGACTTGAACTGGTGACTGAGACCAGACAGGATGGGGAGGGCAGTGAAGGGCAGAGAAGGCCCTGAGCCAGCAGTTTACACTTTTAAAGGTTGACTCCCCTTGGTAGTGTTTTTGAAGGCTTCTGCATACAAACAACTAATATGGATTAGTACTTATAATCTGAAAAAAAGTCTTGACCAAGAATCCTAAACTCCACCATCCCACTACAGCATAAAACTATCAGAATAATATCCAAACAAGATTTTTCTGTATAGTCTTTTTTGTACAAAACTATGAGCACAAAAGTTGACCATTTAGCCCATTTGTTGCTAGAAGGAAAAAAAACCAACTAGCCTCCAGTCAAAATATATTCAAATTCAGGCAGCAGTGAGTTTTAATAAATTAAAACATCCAGAAGTAATTTTATACTTTCATATTCCCATGCTAACTAGATGACTTTGCAGTGTCAAGCTGGCAGTATTAAATACTTCACTGAAGCATTCTGAAGTTTTAGGCTTCCAGTATATATAGCAATGCTCTGAGAGACATACTGGGCTCATATGACGGGTTTGCATTTTTAACAGTTCCTTAATTTGGTCAGTTCTCTTAAATGGTACATCATGTGAATGTAATCAAGTACTGTAGTTGAAATTGTGTTATTGCTGATACTCATGTTGGCATAGGTACTACGCATAATTTTAATAGCTGAGATGTTAAAAAATATGAACTCTAAAGCATAAAGAATTAAAATATACCTATATTAAGCCTGTTTAAGACTGCTCTAGAACTAAAGGCCTTATTCCCTTATGTATGTGATTTTCATGAGATAAATGTATATACAGTATATTTTAAATGGTCATGTGGGTAGTCTATGTGGCTCCTCCCCATTACAAAGCTGACAAAATTTACACAAGGTATTCTGTATTTTCAAATGTCTCAAGTGTGATGTATATAACAAAATTCTTCTGCTGATATTGACCAAATCCTATGCAGGAGAAGACATTTAAAGTATATGAAGTTCATTTTTTAGAAATACATCTTATTTTGGGTATTACTTTCCTCGTGTATTTATTTGATCCTTTGGAAGTTGATACAGCGTGTGTGTATAATCATGTAAATGTTTACGGAAAATTTTATTGAAGTGATTCTATCAGTATTCTGTTCTAATACTTGGAGAATGACCTTCATATTTATGTATTATATTTGTTTCAACTGTACAATGATAAATCCAGGAATTTTTTTTAACAAAAACTAATTTTCTTATTTGTAAAGTGTTCATAATAATATAAAGGTGACTCTTATACATGGTTCAATAAAAATCATATCTTAAAAGTTCAGATGATCTTTATATTTAATATTAGTTAAGATTGTCAGAAAATTATGCCAAGAAAACAGCAGGGAAAAGGCCAATGTAACTTTTCCCGAGGGTTTCTCTTATTACTAGTAGTATAGCTCAGACTTGCACGCCTTCAGTGGCCGACATCGCTTTGAACCTGGAAGCAGCCCCTGCAGTGGCATGGACATGGGCTTGGGAGCAAGACAGCCCTGAGTCTGAATACAAACTCCCTTCTGAACCTGTTTTCTAATCTAGGATGGCGATAATACCACCAACTCTATTGGCAATGAAGAAAACATGAGCTAAGGTTAGGAGTATGCCATTTAGTACACACAGTGTTTTATCAAGCCAAAATTTGCCTTTGTGTAGCATCTACATCCACATATTAGTTCTAGTGTTGGACACACAGATGGTTATTAAATGTGCCACTATTAGAGTTTAAGATCATTACTTAGATGATATTCAGTGTCACCCATACCCTTGTACAGACTGTTCTTCTCTTTGACTAGAATGTCCTCAGAGGGGAAAAAACAATGTCAACCTGTTCCCTCTGCTGATATTCAAATTATAATAGCAGTTTAAGATTAATAAAGAACTATGGTTTAGTATGATTTTGAACCCAGATCCTTCTCTGCAGATTGTCAGGCTTCTCTGGACAGTACAGATTATAAAAGGTTATGAGAACTAAGAATAAAGCACCCTGCTTGATGGCAGAAAGGGGGTATGGTACAGGCACTCTAGGGGAAATCCTCCAAACTCCTCCCCAGTACACAGGATCCTACAGGATGACCCAGGTTGACTTTGTACCAGATCACAGCAGAAGCTGGCAGGACCGCTGGTCTTCCCCTTCAGACCTCCTTTCCCACATCTCTGGTATGGAGTTCCTAGGCCCAGCCTTCTTTCTTATGACTTAGCCCACCTTTCCTTAACAACTAGTGGCTTGGCTTTCCTCTTCCTCTGTCCATCCTTCCCTTTCTCTCACATATTTTCACCTCTTCCTTTCCTGTACCTATGTGTCACTTATCTGGTAGTAGCACATAACGAAATCTTTCCTTCCATTTGTATGATAGGTAACAAATCATTGATGGAGTTAATCCATCCCATATTTTACAAAATGTAACAAATAATTAGGAAACAGACAAGGAAGGTTTAAATTTAGACATTCCCTGGATCAGTGATTTCTATTCCATAAGAGCCTATGTAATAAGGAAATGTCAGAGACCTTCCTATATGAATTAGCTTAGGCCCCATTCCTATGCAGGTATAACTCACCTAGGTTAAGATGTCTCCTCAACCATTTCTCTTGAGAAACTGATTTCACCACTAGATCTTTAAAACCCATCTCAACAGTGATTTTCCTGAGAGTGCATTGCAAAAAATTGCAAAACTCTACAGAAAGCTGGCATGGTTAAGATTTTTTTTTTTGCTCCTCATTTATATCAAGAAGTCCTCAAAGCAAGTGTGTACTTTAAGTAGGAAAAGTGTGCCACCTTCTGGCATTGAACTTCAAATCCACCTTTCCCAAGTGATCCTGTGTCTATTTCCCATATATTCCATGGAATTAAGAGCAAAGGAAATACACACATTGTATTTTTTTCAGTAATAATTTGTAATACCTTGAAGTACTTGCAAAAAAGATTTTAAAGCATTGCATATTCTGCTTAAATAAGGTACAATTGTTTCCTTTGGTGTGGGATTCATGAAAGA